TCCTCATCCCCATGCTCACGCTCATCCTTTTCATCATCCCTCTCCTCCTCCTCCTCCTCCTCCTCCTCCTCCTCCTCCTCATCCTCCTCCTCTTTATCCTTCTCCTCCTTGCTGCTCCTTCTCATCCTCCTCATCCTCCTTCACTGCACCGGAGACATGCGCCCATCGCTTGAGTGTGCATTCCTACTGCGGTCTGGGCTTGCGTGTCGGCATGTCGTGAATTTGGAAGCATTGAAATATCATCATCATCCTCGACTCCAAGTTGGACAATCATTAAAAACCCCTGAGTCCTCTACGGTGCCAATCCTCTGGCACATCCTCTGCGCACAAGTCCAACGCCACTGGTTGGCAAACTACGGTCAGGAAAATTTGCTTAGCATGTCGCAGCGGCGGCCCCGGCGACACGCTATGCCTTGCAAGCGTGTAGCGTGTCGCTCCGCTTGGCAGGATGGGCGATGGGAAAGGCTCAAGACGTTGACGCCTGGGGACTGGGACGCAATAAGCGTGTCGCGCCAGAGCGTGGTGAGCCAGAACTGGCAGCGTGACACGCGAAGCCAAAGTTCCCTACCGTACTCAAACAGCTGTCTGGGCTGCGGGATGGGCAAAATTCGGTACAAGGCAGCGCCGCCTCAACCTCCTCCAGCTGGCTTTCCATCTGGAAGCAGGTCGTGTCCAGCACCGTCACCTGGGAGGCCCGCCGCATGCACCAGAGGCCACGACACTCGGCCAGATATGCGCGGGCCCCCTCTTAGGTAAGGAGGAGCGCAATACTATGCGCCCCCCCGTGGAGGCGCATGTCCGAACTGAACATATATGATAAACACATCGTTGCCCAGGCGGTATGGCCCGACAGCGCCCGCCACCGTGCATCAACTATAAGGTTTCCGAGCGCGCGCGTCGACCCTGGGGGGGCGACGCGCACATCCGCCGACCCTGTCGGCGTGTGTGAGGGGCGTTTCCGTTCGAGCCGTCATCTCCGTCATTCTTTGTAATCGTCGTCTCTGTCGTTCCCTTTCCCTGGTACCCCTCTTCCCCTGGGCTCCTCCCCGCTCCCCTCGCCCTTTCCCAGGGCCTCCTCCTCAAGCGCGCTAGCCAAACCGACCTTCAGCAACGTCGTAATTGATTCGAAGGGAAGCCCCTTCCCTTTAATCTCTTCCCCCGCTGGGAGGGGGAGGGAGGGTCTTTCCCAGGGCCTCCTCCTCAAGCGCGCCAGCCAAACCGACCTTGAGCAACGTCGTAATTGAGTCGAAGGGAAGCCCCTTCCCTTTCCCTTCCCCGACGGGGGGGGGAGGGGGTCCCGGGGGGGGTCCCGGGGGAGTCCCGGGGAAGTCCCGGGTCAGATACGACGCCCCCCCCGTAAGTACTCCACGTAAGGATTCCCTCCTCCTCAAGCGCGCCAGCCAAACCGATCTTGAGCAACGTCGTAATTGAGTCGAAGGAAAGCCCCTTCCCTTTCCCTTCCCCGACGGGGGGGGGAGGAGGGGTCCCGGGGGGGGGCCCGGGGGAGTCCCGGGGAAGTCCCGGGTCAGATACGACGCCCCCCCCGTAAGTACTCCACGTAAGGATTCTTTCTTGTTTCACGCCGCGCCCGAGCCGCCCGAGCCGCCTCCGAGCCGCGCCCGAGGAGGAGAGCGCGTCAGAGAGCCCCCCTCTGTTCCCCCTGTCCACACGGGGGGGAGCCACCCCTTTCCTCCCCCTTTCCTTCCTGTCCACAGGAAGAGAGCGCCCCGCGCCCCGCGCCTTTCCCCCCCCTCCCCGTCCCCCCTCTGTTCCCCCTGTCCACAGCCCCCTCTGTTCCCCCTGTCCACACGGGGGGGAGCCCCCCCTTTCCTCCCCCTGTCCTTCCTTTCCACAGGAAGAGAGCGCCCCGCGCCCCGCGCCTTTCCCCCTACTCCGCCGTTCCCCCTCTGTTCCCCCTGTCCACACGGGGGGGAGCCCCCCCCTTTCCTCCCCTCCAGTGGGTAACGATTATAATCCGCCACCGTGACCCCTGGTACGTTGGGGCGTGCTAGAATGCCAAGTGCTGTCTGGTAGGGCTTCTGTACTCTTTGTGGAGGTCCCACCCACTGGATCGCACCCACCCGTATGGCTGGCCCCCTCTTCCCGGGGCTCTCCCAGTCGTCCAACAGACCCACTATGGCTTCCAAGACGCACCTGGGAGGCCACCGAGGTCGCCAAGATGGCCCAAGATGCCTCCAAGACGGCCTCCAAAGTTCCGGTGAAGTCCCAAGAGCGCTTGAAAAGGACCCCAAAGATAGCCTCAAGACGGCAGCAGCAGACGGAACACCACCACCAGCAACACCGTCACCATCGCCAGGAACGACCGAACCACCAGCAGCACCCGCGACACCAGCAGCAAGAGAACCACCAAGACCATCATCATGGCCAACAGCAACGGCAGGAAGAAAACGACCACCAGCAAAAGTACACCTCCCTCCCCCACCTTCTCGTCCTTCTCCCCTCTCCCCAAAACCATCCCACAGCCCGTGCCTCTTGCTGCGCATTGCGAACAGGGTCGGCGGCACCGGCCGTAAGGCCTTCGCAATAATACAAAATGCTTGGGTAATGCCGATGAGGGCACAACAAGGTGAAAGACGCGAAACATGAAGACGCGGAGGAAGCCACCGCTGCGGGACAGCCGGCCCGCTCCGGAACCCCGAATCCAAATGTTTGGCATAAAAAAATCAAATCCGTCCTGAGGGAAGCGGGTGCTGGACCCCAGGGCCCTTCCACCCTGACCAATTGTTCGTCGTCCTGTGTCGTTGTCTGACAATCCCGGGGAGGGCCCTGGGAGGCCCAAAAACGTAGCACAAATCTCAGGACGCGCTTGCTTCATTCATGACCCAAAATGACACCCCCACCCCTGGCAGCGGCTGCCGCGGGAATCCCTGGCAGGCGGGGTGCTGGGATCGGGGGTCGGGGTGAGATTTCTGTGGCCTTCAAGGCTGGCTCTCAACCGCTCCCACAAACCTCCCCCCCCAGTCGCGGCACCCGTTCGACAAGTCTGCCTCACCCACGTGGTGGTCGGGCGCGGGGGGGGGTCATTCAGGTCACGATTCGTGGCGAACTCTACTTCCTCCAGCTTGACAATCTTCTGCCGGCAGGGCCTGAAGTTCCGATCCTTTCCCCACGGCCAGCTTTTCATCCTCCCAGTCGTTTATGTTGACGGTCCCGAGGCCTGGCGAGGGCCCCCAGACGCCAGAAATGCCCCAAACCCTCCCGTCGTGAATTCTTCACGCCGCGAGCATGTCTGGGTCTGGGGCCACTTCCCGCGAAGGGCGCGACGATGAGGACGACGACGACGACGACGGTGACGATGCTGATGATGATGCTGATGATGATGATGATGATGATGATGTGTTGATGACGACGATGACGGTGACGATAATGATGACGATGACGATTATAATGATCATGATTATGATGGTGATGGTGGTGATGATGATGACGTCGATGATTATGATGATGATGACGACGATGATGATGATGATGATCACGATGATTATGCTGACAATGATAACGATGATTATTAAAATGATGATGAGGAGAAGGAAGATGATGAGGATGATGAGGATGATGATGATTATGATGATGGTTACGGTGATAATGATGGTGAGAATGATCCGGGTCATGACGATGATGATGATGATGATGATGATGGTCGGTGATGATGATGACGATGGTGTTGATGATGGTGATGGTGCTGGTGGTGGTGATGATAACGGTGCTGGTAATGATGACGGTAATGGTTGTATTGATGGTGCTAGTGATGGTGATGCTGACGATAGTAATGATGAAGCTGCTGACGATGCTGCTGCTGATGCTGATGATGATGCTGATCCTGATGCTGATGTTGATGATGACGATGATGGTGATGATCTTCACAATGACAATGAAGATCATAGTAAAGGGAATGATGATGGTGATGGTGATGCTGATGGCGATGATGATGAGGATGAGGATGATGGTGATGATGATGGTCATGATGATGAGGAAGATGAGGATGGAGATGGTGATGGTGATTGTGATAGTGATGGTGGTGACGATGTTTATGATGGTGATGGTGACAATGATGATCATGGTAATGGTGATGGTGATGGTGTCGGTGGTGGTGGTGATGATGAGTATGTTGACGATGATGATGTCAATGATGACGATGATGATGGTGATGATGATGATGGTGATGATGATGGTAATGATGGTGATGATGGTGATGATGTTGATGATGATGATCGTGATAGCGATGGTGATGGCGATGGCGATGGTGATGGTGATGGTGATGGTGATGATGCTGGTGATGATGATGATGATGACGCGGATGATGGTAATGATGATGATTAGTGTAACGATGGCGATGATGACGATGGTGATCATGGCGATGGTCGTGCTGATGGTGATGGTGATGGCGATGGTAATGGCGATGATGATGATGAAGTGGTGATGGGGATGGTGACAATGATGATGATGATGATCACGATGCTGGTAATGATGGTGATGATGACGATGATGATCATGGAAATGACGATGGTGATGTTGATGGTGATGCTGATGATGATGGTGATGATCATGGTGATGGTGCTGTTGCTGGTGGGAGTGATGATGATTATGATGATGGTGACGACGGTGACGACGATGATGATGGTGGTGGTGATAGTGATGATAGTGATGATGATCATGGTGATGGTGATGGTGGGATGGTGGTGGTGGTGATAATGATGATGATGATGACTAGAATGATGATGATGCGGATGATGACGATGATGACGATGTTGGTGGTGATGGTGATGATGATGGTGATGATGGTAATGATGATGACGATGACGATGATCGTGGTGATGGTGATGGTGATGGTGATGATGACGCTGATGGTGATGGTGATGATGATGGTGATGGTGATGGCAATGAGGATGATGATGACGATGATGATGACGATGATGATGATGATGATGGTGATAAGGATGGTAATGATGGTGATGATGACGACGATGATCATGCTGATGATGATGATGGTGATGGAGTTGGTGATGGTGACGATTATGGTGGTGGTGATGATTGTAAGGATGACGATAATGGTGATGGTGATGATGATAGTTATGATGGTGATGGTGATGATGATGACCATGATGATGGTGATCGTGGTGGTGATGACGATAATGATGGTGACGGCGATGGTGATGGTGATGGTGATGATGATGACGATGAGGACTATGATGTCGCCGATGACAATGCTGATGGTGACTATGGTGATGATGACCATGGTGATGGCCATGGTGATGGCGATGGTGATGGTGATGGTGATTGTGGTGATGATCATAATGCTGGCGATTGCGATGATGACGATGATGATGATGGTAATGGTGATGGTTATGACAATGGTGATGGTGATGGTGGTGGTGACGATGATGGTGATGCTGACGATGACGACGACGATTGTAATGATGACGATGATGGTCATGGCGATGGTGATGGTGATGGTGATGGCGATAATGATGATGATGGTGATGGTGGTGGTGATGGTGATGGTGGTGATGAGGATCATGACGATGAGGACGATGATGCTGATGGTGATGATTGTGATGATGATGATGGTGATGGTGATGATGGTGATGATGACGATGATGATCACGGTGATGGTGATGGTAATGGTGATGCTTATGGTGATAGTGATTGTGATGGTGACGGTGGTGTTGACGATGATCATAACGATAATGATGATGACGATGGTTACAATGGTGATCGTGATGATGTTGATCGTGATGATGGTCATGATGACGATGGTGATCATGATGATAGTGATTGTGATGGTGATGCTGATGATGGTGATGGTGATGGAAATAGTGATGGTGGTGGTGATAGTAATGATGACGATGATGACGATGATAATGGTGATGGTGGTGACGAAGATGGTGATGATGATGATGACAATGATGATCTTTGAGATGGTGATGGTGATGGTGATGCTGATGGTGATGATGAAGGTGATGATGACAGTGATGGTGGTGATTGTGATGATGATGATGGTGATGATTATGATGACGATAATGACGATGATGACGATGATGATGGTGATGGTGATGGTGAGGATAATGGTGATGAGTGTGATAATGACGATGATGATCATGCTGATGGTGATGGTGACAGTGATGTTGATGGTGGTGGTGATGACGATCATGATGAGAGTTATGATAATGACCATGATACCGATGATGCTGGTGATGATGGTGATGATAACGATTATGATCATTGTGATGGTGATGGTGATGATGATGGTAGTGGTGAGTGTGATGGTGGTGACCCTGGTTGTGATGATGATGACAATGAGGATGGTGATGGTGATGATGATGATGATGGTTTCGATATGGTGATGATGATGATGACGACAGACCATTGACGATGACACGATGACAGAGCAACCGATGAGATGATGCTGTGGATGGTGATGGTGATGGTGATGGTGATAATGATGGGTAGATGGTGATGGTTATGGTTGATGGTGATGTGATTGTGGTGATGGGATGGTGATGGTGATGGTGATGGTGATGGTGATGGTGATGGTGAGTGATGGTGATATGGTGATGTTGATGTGATGGTGCTGGTGATGGTGATGGGATGGTGATGGTGATGGTGATGGTGATGGTGATGGTGATGGTGATGGTGATGGTGATGGTGATGGTGATGGTGATGGTGATGGTGATGGTGATGATGATGACGGCGGCTCGGGAGGGGGCTGGGGCGGCCGGGGCAGCTGGGCCCGCCCCGGCCGCCCAAGCCCGCTCCGCCGTCCGACAGGCGCCCGCCCGCGGCCCGCTGCCTGCTTCTGGAGCATCATGGCCTTGTTCCTCAGCCTGATCTTGTCCCGTTGCAGCAGCCTGCCGGGATCGAGGCTCGAGGCCGGGTCTCGTGGACCGAGGCTCTGGGGGCGCTGTTGCGGACGACGGCCTCCAGGTGACCGAGAGGCGACGAGGCCCCGCGCCGCAGGCTCCTGGCAGTCTGTGCTTCACTGTGCTTCGCGGCGGCGGAGAGAAGGCGCGAGAAGCAAGCAGACGACGACGAACGCGCAGGCGCAAGGCCAGGGCCTGGCAGCGGGACGAGGCAGGCAGGGAGAACGAGGGAGGAGGAGGAGGATCCCCTCTTCCTCCTCCTCCTCCTCCTCCTCGCCCTCGCCCTCCTGCCTCCTGCTCCTGCTCCTCATCCTCCTCCTCCTTCTGTTCCTCCTCCTCCTCCTCCTTCTACTCTTCCCCCTCCTCCTCCTCCTCCTCCTCCTTCTCCTCCTCGTCATCCTTCTCCTCCTCCTCCTTTTCCGCCTCATCCTCCTCCTTTTCCTCCTTCTCCTCCTCCTCCTTCTACTCTTCCCCCTCGTCCGCCAGCATCGAGGATCCAGGCTTGAACGAGATCGATGGTCGAAGATATCGATCGATCACCGATGTTTCTGGTACATTGGTGCCCCTTTCTGGGCCTCCGAACGGCGGCTTCCAGCGGGCTCCCCCCTCCCCCCCTTCCTGCCTATTGCTCCTCGTCCTCCTCCTAAATCTTGCTCTTGGTCCTCCTCCTGCTCCTGCTCCTCTACCTCCTCCTCCTCCTCCTCCTCCTCCTCTTCCTCCTCATCCTCCTCCTCCCTCCTTCTCCTCCTCCTTGTCCTCCTCCTCCTTGTCCTCCTCATCCTGCTCCTGCTCCTGCTCCTGCTCCTCCTCGACCTGCTCCTCCTCCTCCTCTTCTTTCTTTTCTGCGCAATATGATTATAATGTGTTTTAATAAGAATAGAGGTGTTACGGTTAGCATTATGGTTCGTATTAGTTTTCGTACTATTTGTAGTATTTGCTTATAATGCTTAGTAGTATGATTAGTATTATGATGATTCGAACTCGTATGCTTAGTAATACTGGTATCATCAGTATTAGTATCATTCATACTGGGATTCGTATTCGTAGAATGCTTCTTATTAGCCTTCGTAGTATTATTCATGTTCTAAGTATAATTAGCCTTATTATTACTAGTAGTATTGTCCTTATCAGTATTACTATTGGTATGCGTTTTCTTTCTCTGAATAGTAATGTTTCCTCTTCTTACTACTATCATTAGTATGCGTGTCTTCTTCTCCTTTCAATCAAGATGATCACTACTATTGTTAGTCGTCGTTTTCGCATTCTGATTATTACTATTCCTCCTCCTCATCACCATCATCTGTAGAATAAATGTCATCATCCTCAGCAGCAACAACATCATCATCAGCATCAGCAGCATTATCATCAGCATCATCATCACAATCAGCAGCAGCAGCATCATCATCATCATCGTCAGCATCATCGTCGTCGTCATCATCCTCATCATCATCAGCATCATCATCTGCATCATCATCATCGTCGTCGTCATCGTCATCATTATCATCAGCATCAGCAGAATCATCATCAGCATCAGCATCATGAACATCCAGAAAAGACTTACCTTCGCTGCTGGTCACTGCTTCTAGCTTGTCCTTATGTTTCTGTTGCTGTTAGGCCTCCTGCTGCTGAGACGGGACGGTATATGACGGAGATGCTCAGGTATACTATGACAATACCTGCTGGGGTTTCAGATGGGATTGCAAGAAGCACACAAAACATAAATGACTGGCTCTCGCAGCCACGCAGGTCCAAGCAAGGTATGGCTTCGCGTCCAAACTGTTTCTAGCTGGCTCAACTCGCCACCCACCAGGGGACGGGAAATTCGAACCCGTTGATCAGCCCTTGGAGCCGCCGTGCTGGGTGCCTGGCGACCTATGCGAACCTAGAGGCGGGCGGCTGACAAGACACCGAGAAGGTCCAAAGATGCGTACTCAAATGAATTCTGTTGATCCTCTCCCAGCCAGAAACGACGGGGAACGACAGGGGAGGACTGGCTGAAGGGCACGTTGAGCTGGAATCGGCGATACATCGCCGGTAGGTCGGCGGCAGGCCCCCGATAGCGAATCTGCACGCTCCTGGGCGGGGTGGGCCATCAGGCACCTGTCGGCGATCAACGGGCGATTGGCTGCGCATCCCCGGTGGAGCTTATCACCCCCCGACGCTGCCCCTTGCCTTTCGGCTCATGATTCGGCTCTCCGGCGGCCCCCACGGAAAGCTCTCGGCGAGGCGCGGCTGCTGGAGAACATCCCGAAGCTTGAAGGCCGCTGAGAACCTCCAACCTCGAAGCCTCGTCCCCTCCTGAGCCTATCCCTCCTAACGTTTTGCCCCCGAAGAAAGCGTCGGGGATCGGTCGCAGGACCCAGCCGCGCCAAGCGCCAGAGTTGCCCAACGGGCAGGCCAGCGCTTGGGACCACCCTGCCCCGGCCCGGAGAAGGCGGCTCGGGGCAAACGAGGCGCCCTGGGGAAAAGTGCCGGCGAGGCGAGGCCGTAAAGCCCAACGGAACAATCAGAATGGGCGCAGAAAGACCGACAGCAATCCCTGCCCATTTTGCACAGGAACCCTGCTGGTGTCGCCGCGGACGGCGTCCATGTGAGACAAAAAGCCGACTGCCCGGTAGCGGCCGCCATCGGATTTGGACAGCATTTGCGGTTGGGCATTGTGCCCATCGTTTCCGAACACTCCTTTCGGGGCGCGCCTGGCTCAGAGCATTGCTCGCCCAAGATCTCCGGACCCCCCGAAAAAAACAGTCTCCACTGACGCTGCCCCCAGGCTCTACTAGGAAGCTGGAACACACAAGCACACACACACACACACTCTTTTCGGGCGCCCGCAGACGGGGCAACGACGACACACGGCCGAGCAAGCAGGCAAAGCCTGGCAAAGAGCACCGAAACCGGGCTGACCAGAAAGCGAAGCACCAAAGGACGAAGCAGGGCAGGACGAAAACCGGCCGGCCAGCGACAAGGGGCCAGCGAGACTCTCAAGGGCAAGGAGGGCTTC